AACAAGAAAATCAAAGAGAAGTTGATCGCTGTGGTTAGTCTGCTGTGTATGTAGAAAGTTAGTAACACGAAGCCAGCCTGCTATGATGATTGTGTTTTGTATGGATACTAATACTGGATCTCAGGCTTAAGATGATAGTGACAGGTTTAAAAAACAAAACACTGAACTGAGCATTTTACCCCCTGCACCAGAATCATGATTTGTGCAGAACAGTCATTCTTCAGCATGATGGGACAGCAAGAGGAGGAACAGCTAACAAACAGTGGGCAGGTTGGTGGGCACTATAACCCACATAAAGAACAAGGCAGACAGAAAACTCACCAACAGACTGCTCTTTGTTGGTTGTGAGGTTTCGTAAACACATGGCAGTGTCAGCTCCACAGCTGGTTGGTGGTGAAGAGTCACAGAGCTTTAGTGTATATCTCACTTTATTATCTTGATCTATTGCCTCCCATTTATATCTGCAAGACAAGGAATAGAAGACAATAAGCAAATAGATACCCAGGAAATGAGCTTGTTGGCCCTGACCCCACAAAATTACAGTCTGGGACAACAAATGACTATCATTTCCACTGCTACTATAAAGATAAGTCATTGTTTTGGGCTGTAAATTTTTTTGAAAATTGTTAAAATAGTTACAATGAACAAATGGGAAATGAATCTTTAAAAATTTATACTGTGACTCGTGTTCTTTTACTTATTTCTCCTATAAAATAAATCACACTCATCTGTATAGCAAAAACACACTGACATATAAATGACAGTTTAAAATATCTAGTGGTTCACAGAAGTACAGCATTTATGTAAAAATTACGGTTCGTGCTTTGCAAATGTACGTTTTTCAGCTTTTTCCATCACGCAACCTTTGAGGAAATTTGAAGCTTTGACTTCTGATTTGACAAAACAAGAAATACAAACGTGCCTTCGAGTTTTAAATGATCTTCTTCTAAATTTACCACTTCAATCCTTGGCAGAAAATAACTGATGCCTTTCTCTAAATACCTAAAACTTAAATTTAAGGCATTCTTTTCTTTAACAAACAAATGTAACAATAACAATAAACAAAATGGACTAATGTGAGTTAAGTGAGATTAAACCAACTGGGATTAAAAACAGAGATAAGAAAGGAGGAGGTCATAAAATAATTTTTAAAAGCCCCATGCTTCCATTTCAGTGAGTGTGGAAAACACATGTGCAAGTCTTACACACACACACACGGTTTCACTTCTGATTTTTAACTAATATTGAAGTAATCTTTTTATGACACAGAAGTGAGGACAGTATTTAATGGTTGTATACTAAAAATTCCAACAGTTCAGAAATGCTCTTGTCATTTTCACTTTTATTAAAATATGAATTGATCATTAGCATCATTATTTCCCCCCTGTTGGGTATAACGTGATATGGTATTGTGTGATATTATGTTTTTCCTAATAAAACAGGTGCTGTAAAACCTAAAAAATACACAAATACACCGTGTTCTCTGAACGTAAGGAGTAATCCCACACATCAATACGGATATTGACCTAAACCAGACTGTAAAGGAACAGACGAGGAACAGAAACTAAGGGAGAAGTTAACTGTAAGCCATGTGTGTTTCTAACCAAGGTCCTCGGAAGCTGCCAAATCGAGGTAATATTAACACAGGCTGAACCTAAGCGTTGAGTCACCGGGTTATCATTTGCGCTTTATTGCTGAGTCAATATTTGAACAGCAGCTACTGAGACAACGCTCCACTAAAGAAGGACAACGCTGACTTTATTTTAACTCCCATATTTATGTTGTTATTCTCTTCCGGTGCGTTTATTTATATAAATACGCCGCTGCTCTGTGAGAAAAACGCAATGTTGTTAAGGTTTAACATTCCCCAATTAAGCACGGCAGTTTTGTGCACGTTTCGGCATTTATAGCTAAGCTTCACTTATTTCCTCGATGAACAAGAAAAACTAACTAGCATCGACGGTATGTGAGTTTCAGGGGTAGTCTGATTCAGCTGTACTGGTTTGCTAGCTGAATCAAACTTATTTAGGCTGTTTGCTAAATAAGAAATAAAACTACCTATGACTGGAAATAAGCATTAGTAGACATATTTCTCAATTCAGTTTATTTAGACGATGTGTGTACACGAGAGGACAACGGCTGCACCTTTAACGCTGTTAATCTGTCAGCAGCTGCAGTGTTTGTACCCCCAGAAGGTGTGTATGTGTGTGTTGTTACCTGCAGAGGTCCTGGTACCACGGGCTGTTGTTCTCCGTCGTTCCGGACCGAACCAACAAACAGCCTAGAAAGGCCGCGAACCACAGAGCCAGCTTCAGAGGCTCGAAGCGAGAACATTTATACCCAAACATGATGGTTACTGTACCGGGTAACGTCTGTGGAGCCTAACTAAGACGACATGATACAGCAGAGTGTCTCTGCTCCTCACCAAATCAGTAGGAAGTGACTTCATCACATGACAGGACATCACATGACTCTCATCATGTTGACTGAAGGGGCGTTCGCTGTCTGTGAGAAAAATCTGACATCTGAAAACGCGTGAAAAAGTGTCAAGTGTGACGTAAGTAATAGCCAGGGGTAATAAAACAATTTTGCCTACTTCTTCACAACAGGTGGCCACAGAAGGAATTTGTGTCTCCTCCCGGATATCTGCTGCTTGTTAGGTAAACATGCAAGCCAATACACAAGCGAACCATTAGGAAAAGTTACAAATGAAAAAAAAAACCAAAAAAAAACCCCACACACCAAACAAATCAAACAAACCAACAAACAATAGAAACAAAAGCAATGTGTCAAACAGAAAAGGACAAACAAAATAACGAGAAAATGATCATACGTGAGGACATATAGCAAGAAAGTAATTGTAAATTTACATTTATGAATGTGGAAACTAGCAACAAGTAGCATTAACAGTAACAACAGTCACATCAACTCTTCTTCTTTCATTTTCATGATTTTTTGTGTTAAAGGGTAAGACATTATATGGATTTTTAAAAATTGTAATTTTTTTAAAGTGTTGAAATATTTTTATTGATGTCCAACAAATCCTAAAAATGACGTGTCTTACTGATGTTGTTTTATTGATATATTTTTTTAATCCCACATGCAATAAACCACTTTAAACTAAAAATCACACATATTTTTTTAACCATTTGTTATTATTGTAACTGTTTTGCGCTGTGCTGAACCAGATTCTTTTCCAAGTCATCACTTCAAACTTCACAAACTCTAAACCGTAGTTAATTGCTAATATTTGCATTTGATGACTTGAGACGACTGTTGGGCTGTAGTTTTAGATAAACAAACTGTAATTGGGCTGAATTAGATTTAATCATTTTTTCAGTTAATCAAGAAAATACACAACAGAACAAATTTACAACACAGTGCTAGTCACTAACAAAAAACTAACACAGCTAACAGCTAACAGCATGCTTGCAAACAGACCAAAATGATTGTAAGATAAAATCCTTTTTACAGCAATAAGATGCTTGAATGTGCACAGGACACCAACTAACAAAAAACCCATGTCACACAATCATGACTTGAGCTATTGTAACTGTCAAACGTATGTACCTATCAAACCTACTTATCACCCCAATGCATCACTATTGATTAAAAAATGAATTAACAACAAGAAAAGATTTTATCACTCTTGTGATTCTCCAAGTGACAGAATAAACAAGTTGAATTTTTCTAGTTACAAATACGTCACTGTATGTCCGACGTTACATGAATGCGACATTTCTCATGACACATAGCCAAGAGGTTGACTCGAAGTATTTAGCCCTGAAGTTTGTCTTACAGGTCAATCCTGTTCTGAAGTCGCTTCATTGACTTCTAACCTTCCACTCGTGAAACATTGACAACATTTATTAGAGGATTCTACTGTGAGACATCCTTCAGTCTGATAGCGAACATAGCTGTGACTAAACTGCAGTTCAGGACCAAATTACATTAAATACAATTAAATAAGCTTCTCTAGGTTTTCATTTTGCGCCATCTTGTGGTCATGCTCGAGCAACGAAACTGGGAAAGGTGTCAGACTTACTTGTTTACAAAGTAATAAACTGAAAGTTTATTACATTTAATCTGTTATTTGTTAGTTTAGTATACCAGGCTGTGGGTACTGCCTCTGTCAGTAATAAGGCTATAAAATTAGCAATAATTCAGGCCTGTGATTTGGATGAAATTAACAGTGAAGATATAATGAAATCCAAAAAATATTCACCTTTGCAAAAATATCCAGATTACATTTGTTTGCAAGCTGGTTCAGGTCCCTGTGTTTGACAACCTTGGTTCAGAGCCAGCTAAGCAATCTGAGGTATTTACTGCTGTTATTGTTACAGCAACCTAACCTAGGCACATCGTTGCATTATGGGAGGAAGTGGAGAGACGCCACACAAACATGAAATACTTTAGCCAGTGTATTCATACCCAGGACCTTCTTGCTGTGAGCCAACAGTGCTAACCACGCCACCACTGCTGCACAGCAGTCATTTATTTAAAAGGTACTTTCTCTTCCAGTATTCATTAAAAAAAAATTAATTTAAGCAGTCATAGATCTCCAGAATATATATGAAGAAGAGTTGAAGAGCTATGAGGGTCCTTTAAAAGTAGTTCTTGTTTATTTGGATTTTATTGGACAGCAGATTTACAGGTGAGTCACAGGTGGACAAAAAGGTGAACACATATATTTTGCAACCACATTAGAGTCCCATGACCTCCACAAAGCAAGGGCATTAGAGAACAAATACATAATATGACACATTTAAAAAAGGCATGATATCCAGCTCAAATGCATAATAAATGACATTTTGCTGTCTCTCCCATAATCTCAATTCAAGATTGTTTGAGTGTTATATCGCCTCCTTGTGAAATGTCTCTTCCTACACTGCCAACCAAAAATAATGTAGCACCATCTAGTGGTTTAATTTTAGTTTGGACCGTTGTAATCAGTGGAAGTGATGACACCTGTGGAGACAGTAACATGTCTATATCAGAGAGACAACACCTGTTACAGCTTTTCTCTTTGCCAAAAGATGTCTTGCTGCATTATGTGGCTGCTGGCTGCCTTCTGCCTGTCAACAGGTACAGCCTAAAAACATATGTACTGCAAAGTATGGATTTTTAGCTTAATAGTGATAATGTTTTTGTGTGTATGTAGTTGGCAGTGTTCCCATCAGTCCCGCCGGTCCTTTCGCAGGTTGGTGCTCATTAAATTCATTTGCATGTTTGATTTGCATATGCTGCAACATATCAAATCTGAGGATTCTACATTTTTGTAGGTAATGTTTCTTTAAATGCCACTACCGCGGGTGGGTATGAGAGCACCACTGCAGCGACTCCAAGAGGTAAGCTCCAGAGTTTGTTTGTTTTTTTTAATTCATAATCAATAACATTTCCAAATGTAGTTAAGATATTGAAAGTGTCACTTTCAGTTAGTGCCTATTTTTGTGTGGGTGTGGGGGTGTGTGTGGATTTCAGGGTGGATGCAGTGTGAGATGTGCAGCAGTTCCCCTTACTTGTGACATGATAGATTTTTGATGTGATGTTTTTTTTAATTACGCCCACAATGCCACCGGCTCTGCTCCAGACTTGTGATCAGTTTATGCACTTGCACTGTTTTTTAGATTTGCTAGAATACAATGATGACTTAAAGATTTTCTAACACTTGATACAATAGAAGTTTCTACAGACAGAATATTTTTTGCTTCATTTGTGTCATATGGTGAAAGTTCTTTACACTCTTAAAATAAGTGGAAACATCATTGATATTAGCTGTATTTTTATTTCAGATTATGCCTTTTCTCTAAATCCCACCATGAATACCACCAGCTCTGCTCCAGGTTGGTGCTCACTGAATCACTCAGAATATTTTTCATTTGCTAGATCATGAATCCAGTCCACTTAACTGTCTCCAGGGTGGTTGTTGTGCATCTGGTATTATTTAGTGTGGACCACTGCATACAATGGCTGTCCAGTAACCCAGAATATTTGATTCTGGTATCGTTACGGTCATTTATATGAAATATATGTACTGGATTTTCATTTCAGTGGGTGCAACTCCTTTAAATGATGCTCTGAATGCCAGCAGTCTTGCTGAAGGTTGGTTCGGAATTATTTTAGAGTTATGTCTTTGGAAAGCCATTATTGTCCAATATATTTTGTACATGCTTAAAAGTGGAAATTGTCAATACTGGTCTTTGCCTTTCAGATCATATTTTTTTAGAAAACACTCTGAACGCTACGAGCTCTGTTCCAGGTTGGCATCTGGTTAATTCACTAGCACCCTTATACATTTGTTGCTTTCTCTAATTAAGAAAATTGTTTTGGGAATTGTACCATTTCTATGGTTATGTATAACCAAAGAACAAATTTAGTATTTTGTTTCGTGCGCTTTATAAACACTGCTTCCATTTCGGTTGGCACAGCTCCTTTAAATGATGCCCTGAATGCAAGCAGTCTTGCTGAACGTTTGTGCTAATGTGTTTCTGTGGGTTATGTCATTGGAAAGTCATCAGTGTTAATATAACTCTGCCTGTTCAAAAAGCGAAACTTGATGTTTGTTTCAGACAATGCCATATATTTAAATGACACCTTCAATACCATCAGCTCTGCTCCAGGTTGGTGGTCACTGAGTGACTCAGATTATTTTCCATTGGTAGAATATGAATTCCATCATTATTCTTAACTCCCTTGTAAATCCCAGGATGGTTGGTGTGTGAAATTCTTTGATTATTATTATTTTTGTATTGTTACGGTCATTTATATGGAATCTGTACTGCACAATGTAAACCCTGGATGTGCTTTATATTTCAGGTGGTGCAACTCCTTTAAATTATGCTCTGAATATCACCAGTCTTGCTGAAGGTTGGTGCAAATAATTGCTTTGTCATTGGAAGGCCATTAGTGTTAGTTTACTGTGTACATGCTTAAAAATTGGAAAGATGGTCAATATTGGATGTTTGTTTCAGATTATCCCTTAAATTTGAATGACACCCACAATAATACAGACTCTGCTACAGTTTTGTGTTGGCTTGACTCACTTGCACTAGTCTACTGTTCTAAGATTAGACATTGACAGACAGCTCCTGCAGATTAATTGTATCCTTCTTGATTTAAAAACATTGTGCGTACTTGTAGTTGGTTTAGTTGGTCCACGATTTTTAACTGATGCCCTGAATGCCACCAGTCCTGCTGCAGGTTGGTCATTATTTTTGTGGTTTACATCTTCACAATTAGTTTTTAGTATTAGTATTTTGTACATGCTTAAAAGTGGAAACATGATGGACGTTGAATGCGTTTCTGTTTCAGACTACGCCACATCTTTCAATGACACCCACATTACTTCAAATACAACTGGCTCTGCTCCAGGTCTGTTTTCACAAGACTTCAGACTGTCAGGTTTTATGTTTGAGGTGTTCTAAATATGTGGCTGTCTGCAGGTGCTGCAGCTCCAGAACCTGAATCTTCAAAGAATAAGAGTGCAGAAACTTTGAAAGGTAAAACTTGAGCATAGCATGAGATTAGACTGGCCACAATCCTGGCAGATTAGCTAGTGTTAGCACTTATAAACATCCTATTATAGACAGTATTTAAGATGCTTTAGCCAGCCCAGATGAGATAGTCAGATCCCATCAAGCACTATTTCAGTTAATCGATGTCCAATCAGCTGGCTCTGTTGTGGGATCTTTCTTATCTCGCTGCCTCTTGCCTTGCACATATGGCCATGGAACAGCCAATCACAAAATTGAGCCTTACTCCAGATGGAAAAACCAGCCTCTTGATTAGTGGGCCACACTAAACCACTTAATTTTCATGTCCAATGACTACTTTTTCTGATTTTTAAATCCTGCACTTTGTCAGAGTTTGATCAAGACATGCCAGTCCAGGAGGGGGACATTCTAATTCCGGTAAGATGGAGGGGTTTTATATTTATTTATGTTTTGTGTGGTACTGCTGATTGCTGTATGTTTAAACTTGCAGGAGAGCAGAAATGCTGTACACACTCTGTGGCCGGATGCCACCACCTCTTACATCATCACTGATGAACTGGGTAGGTTGTTGTCCCTCAAATAGGACCAGATATTTGATTACTGAATGATAACTGATTTGGTTTTGACTCCAACAGTTTCCCGAGAGGCAGAAATTAAAGCTGCCTTTAAGATGATATCGGATGTCACATGTATTCGTTTTAAGAAACGAGACACCGAGTCGAGCTATTTGAAGCTTGTGACTGGCAATGGGTAAGAAGTCAACTATCTCTGGGTAGGTTTGTTATTTTGTTAAAGATGAAGCAGTACAGGAAATTGCTATAACAAATTGTTTCCAAGGAAACAATTTGTTATGGCAAAGCAACAGTAAGGAAAATCAGAAACTTCCAGCATTTGCGGGCCTGCCCTTTGCCACTCCTGTTTTTATTACAGGTCTGTCTCTAAAGGCTTCAATCATTCAATCCCATTTTATACTGTGGTGGTTTCACTAGAGACTTGAACACTGGATACTAGAAAGGGATGGGGAAGAAAAGCTTTAATGAAAGATTAATAGATGGGGAAACGACATGCTTGGCAGCAAAAGGGAAAGCCCATAAAGTAGGCACTCATTAAAGCCTACCCAACAATTATTTAATCTTATTACTAGTTTGTGACACAAATTGAGGCCTGTTCCATTCAATTTGGTACATTTTGGCTTCAGCCTCCATTATCCATATATTCAGACATTAAGGGAGAATCTCAGGTCAGAACTGAGTGGTTGAACTCTAACATTTATTTATTTTGCACCTAGCTGTGCCTCATTCGTTGGTTGTCAAGGAGGAGCCCAACGACTCTTCTTTGCTTCAGAGTGCACCGTGGGGAACCTTTGCCATGAGCTGCTCCATGCTCTGGGACTGTATCATGAACACACTCGTGAAGACCGGGATAAATATGTCACAGTGAACTGGCAGAATATTGTGGCAGGTACACAAGCTTGTTTGCTTTTTGCATTAGTTGTAATGCAGTTAAAAACAAGTTGTATCCAGATTGTTCACTCAGCCCAGTTCCTTTGGATGCAATTGAAGTCTTTGGTCAGTAAAAGTGAGACCTCTTGGTTTGTATAATGGAAAATATGCCCCCAGTGGTGTCGATGGAATGTAAAGTATGACTTTGTGCACATGAATGTTAAGATCCTCTCCTGCCAGCTCAGTCCCTCCTTGTCAAAGCCTTCATCTTCTTGAAACAAGAACTATAACTGTCTCTTGTAATGCACATCAAAAAAGGAACATTAACTTGAGTATGAAGAAATTACTTTGGCTATTATTGTGATACAGTAGGTGCATAATGTTCAACTATGCCATTTTGGATTTCTTTTTCCTTAAAGGTAAAGAAAATAACTTCAAGGTGAAGCATGGAAACACTCAAAACCTACCATATGATCTCGCATCCATAATGCACTACGGGCGGTAAGTTGACGACTTCCTCATTTTATTTTCTAATTTTAAAGTACTTGAAACAGACTCCAGATAAGTTTACCCTCCCCCCTGGTCTTGCAGGGATTTCTTCAGTACAAATGGAAATCCAACTGTGTTGCCTAAGCAGAGTGGTGTGGAGATAGGTCAGAGGAAACATCTGAGCCAGCTGGACATAGAAAGATTGAATAAACTCTACAGCTGTGGTAAATTGTGAAACTAAACAATTGCGTGTTTCGTTTTATAACAGTTACATGTTGAATTGACAGTAAATGTGGCACAGACAAAAGCAACCCTGAAATTTCTTTCAGGTCTTATCTTAGGTCGGATACTGCAGTACCTCCTGCCTGACAGGAGTAGTTTGTCTTAACCAGTGTTGGTCAAGTTACTTGAAAAAAGTAACTAGTAATTAATTACTGATTACTCCCCCCAAAAAGTAATCCCGTTACTTTACTGATTACTTATTTTCAAAAGTAATTAATTACTTAGTTACTTAGTTACTTAGTTACTTTTTAAAAACACGATTTACAACCTGAAGAGGTGGTAAAGTAATAGATCTTTCAGCCCAATTCTACTTTTTCTACATAATCCATCATACAAAATGTAATCAAATGGAAAAGTCTCTTTTTAAAACTTGTTTTATCAGTTTTAATCTTTTAACTTTATGCATCAAGCAAAACATTTAATTATATGCAACATTCTCTGACTTGAATAAATTAGTTTAACATTTAAACCTATTTTCTACACATTCCAGCACATAAAATAAAATATTTTTTGTGTTTTCACTCACTCTTTCAAACAGATGCAAGTAAAACACAGCAGAAAATAAATAAAGTCAAAGACTCAGCGGTCCTTTTGCTCTATTTTCACCTGTAAAGCAGGAGCAGGGTAGGCGGAGGGTTACCCTGGTGTAGGTGTGCTGCGGTCAGTTGAAGAATCTGCGCGAGTGTCTCTGTGAGTTTCCCATCACGTCGTAGCTACTCGGTGCTTGCTCGGAAGTTTAGGGGTTTTTTTCGCTGTAAAAAGAAGTTTTCTTCCCACGCACGATGGACGCTAATGTTTTTGTCACTTTTTATGGAATCAAACTCAAAGTAAGGTCAGTACTTCCACACTTTAAACGCTGCACGCTCATACTCTCTCCCGCACTCGATATATTATCCATTGTTGATCTGCACACAGCTGCTGTCACCAACGTCGCACTTGCTTACGTCACTGTCATGAGACATTCTCGCAAAAAAATATCACGGTTTTAGTAACGCAGTAACGCAGCGTTCCTACGGGAAAGTAACGGTAATCTAATTACCGATTTTGCAATAGTAATCCCTTACTTTACTCGTTACTTGAAAAAAGTAATCAGATTACAGTAACGCGTTACAAGTAACGCGTTACTGCCCATCTCTGGTCTTAACACTGTTGTTATTGTTACCATAACCTAACCCAGGCAAATCTTTGCATCATGGGAGGAAGTGGAGAGACACCACACAAATATGAAATCCTTCAGCTAGTGTATTCAACCCAACACCTTGCTGTGAGCCAACAGTGTTAATCACTACATCACTATGCTGCACAGCAGTCATTTTAAAATACTTTTCCAGTAATCATTCAAATATTCATTTAAGCAGTCATATCTCCAGAATACATATGAAGAGTTCGAGGTAGTTGTTTATTTGGATTTTACTGGACAGATTCACAGGTGATGGGGGGGAGAGAGAATACACATCTTGCAAGCACATTAGATTCCCATGACTTCCACATAGGAAGGGCATTAGAGAACAAATACATGACATAACATGTTTTCATTAAAAAAAATAAAAAGACATACTTTCACAAAAAAATTCTATACCCAGCATATTATTTTATAGATTGGTTCAGAAGGGTAAAGAAAAAAAATCAATTATTAATCTCAGGAGTTTCCCCTTCAGCTCAAATGCATAAAAATGACATTTTGCGGTCTCTCCCATAATATCAGTTCAAGATTAAGTGTATGTCACCTCCCTGTAAAATGTCTCTTCTATCACAGCCAAACAGGAATAATGTAGCATCATCTTGTGGTTTAATTGTAATTTGCAACGCTGTAATCAGTGGAAGTGATGACACCTGTGGAGATGGTAACATGTATATATCCGAGAGACAAAAGCTTTTACAACTTTTCTTTCTCAAAAGATTCCTTGCTGCCTTCTGTGGCTGCTGGCTGCCTTCTGCATGTCAACAGGTACAGCATAAAAACATACGTTCTACAAAGTGTGGATTTTTAGCTGAATATTAATAATTAGTGATGGCCAAATGAAGCTTTCTGAAGCTTGTATTGAAAAAACGGTTCATTACTCGAAGCTTTTCAGCAGTCCTCTCTGGTGACATCTGCTGGCCAAAAATATGAAGAGCAGCTTGAATCCACAAAAGACCAACCAAACTAACTGCTTCATAATGATTGCTCACTCTGCAGAGTGGAATTCTGTCTGATATTGGGCTGCCGTTGTTGCTTTGAACGTGTATTTGTTGGTGGTTTAAAAAAAAAAAGTGGTTTATTTGTTTAATAAATAATTTTGACCAGTAAACTCTCCTTTAAACATGCACCATTGTGTGGTCTTTCTTTGCTTATGTCTTCTTGATGTTGGTAAATACAATAATTGAAAAATACCACAGTACATATAATGTACAACACATTATGGAGTATGCTTCTGCTGTGAGGTCCTGCCTCCATGCAATTAACCGCTAGATGGGTGTATTTATAAATAATATTATATTAGGGACGTTTTCCCAGACCTATTTCTGATCTGGGGGTAGAATTGATTGTGAAATGGAAAGGGAAAATGCTTATGAACTTGCAAATTAAAAACATGATGCATTTAAAGTAGCCCTGTCTCATTTTTATTTAAGAGTCTTTGTTCTAGTGTGCGATGGCCAAACCTGCTGATTTAAATTTAGCCATTTAAATCAGCTGTAATGGATCAAGAACACCTCTAAAACCTGCAGGACACCAGCCCTCGAGGCCTGGGTTTGGACACCACTGCTCTAGAGGTTATTTTTATTTATAATCAGTAACATTTAAAGTGTATTTATGTTTAAAGTTTAACTTTCAGTTGGTGTCCTTTTATTTTTTTTATTTTTTTCTAAAGATACTCATCAGGTTGGATGTTGGTGCAGACTACATGTAGATTTCAGAGTGGATGCAGTGTGAAATGTGCAGCAATTCCCCTTATTGTAAGAGTTCTAATATATGAGATTATGCTTTTATTTTTCTTTTTAAAATTGCACCCACAATGCCACCAGCTCTGCTCCAGACTGGTGATCAGTTAATGCACTTGCACTATTTTTAGATTTGCTAGAACACAATGATGACTTAAAGAATTTCTAACACTTCTATTGTGATACAATAGAACCGTGAATACCACCTGCTCAGCTGCAGGTGTGTGTTCATTGAGTGACTTGGATTACTTTACATTAGTAGAATATGAATTCCTTTACTAATTTAATTTTCTTTACTCCTTTGTAAATCCCAGGATGGTTGGTATTGCAGCTCCTCTAAAACAAACTGCCGGAGCAGGCTAAATATCGGGATACTGACGCGCAGCAATAAACAAAAAAATGCACTTCTGAGCCATTTGTTCTGTTTATTCAACCATTACTGTCTTTTTCCTTAAAGGGAAAGAAAATAACCTCAAGGTGAAGCATGGAAACACTCAAAACCTAAAATATGATCCCAGCTCTATAATGCACTACCCGCTGTAAGTTGAAGTCATCCTTATTTCATGATTTCCAATTTTTTTTTAAGTACTTGAAACTAGAGATGGACCGATCCGATATTACGTATCGGTATCGGTCCGATACTGACCTAAATTACTGGATCGGATATCGGAGAAAAATAAAAAATGTAATCCGATCCATTAAATATCACGAAAGCACCTCACAAAACTTGCAACACGCCGTAACTCACCTCAGAACGTTAGCACGTCGGAGCAGTATGCATCACGTGATAGAGCGGCTGTGGCATGCGGGACCTGTCGGTGGTCTGGATAGCATGTGGAGCTTCGCTAGCAACCCGGCATTTCATCTCCGACAAAGTTATCCCCGAGAGAAGTAAAGCAAGTGTGTAAGTCCATCTCTGAATGTTTGTAAAGCATTCCTGCGTTAAGCTTACCAAACGATATATGGAGCGACTGCCTCTTCTTGCTGCTACTTCAATCATGAAACTGCTTAACGATCAGCTGATCGGCTTTTCTGTCGCGAGTCCGTGTCTCTAGTTTGCTTTTGGCCCACGTTGCACCAGAAAGAGGAAACCAGCGGCTGAACAACAGCAGCACGTTTAAGCTTGATCAGCTGTTGTTAGAATTTATTTATTATTACTTTCTACTCGAGGATCTTTTTCTACGTAGCTGACGCTGGTAACTGTGCAGGGGTACTTTTTCCTTTGGGAAGGTACCATCTGTGCAGTCTGCAATTTTGTTGAAGAAAGATGTTGAATCTATTTAATATTTCTTGAAAAATAATTGATTTCTGTGCATTTTTTTCACACTGCATCAAATTAAGGTTGATTACGTCGATTAAGCATCATGAGGTGGAGCGTGAGGGGTGGTTCCCTATTTTTTATTTATTTATTTTTGTTGTTGCTGGGAGTTGGAACCCTATTAGTTAGGTTGCTTAATATTTATGCTAAGTACTCTCTAAATACCAGAATAGGGAGGATGGTGTAGGTTTAAGTTTATTAGATTGATCAGTATTGCTGTACTATGAAATATTTTTTTTTGCATACAGGTATAACAGAATAGCTTTAGTGTAGTTGTTGTTTTAAACTTGAGTATGAACTTATACAAAATGCAGCAAGATATTTAAAAAACAGTTTTGTTGATTAAAAAACACTATATCGGATTCATATCGGTATCGGCAGATATCCAAATTTATGATATCGGTATCGGTATCGGACATAAAAAAGTGGTATCGTGCCATCTGTACTTGAAACAGACTCTGGACCCCCACCCCATCTGTCTTGCAGGTCTCGCTTCAGTACAAATGGAAATCCAACTGTTGCCTAAGCAGAGTAGTCAAATTTATCTGTGTTGCAATAACTTTTGTTGCCACCATGGTCGTCTTCTTATGAACAACAGAAACACTACAGTAGCATCATGCCACATGCAAGAATCAAAAGATGAAATTTGTAAAAGCAGAAGGGGCAAGCAAAAAAGTTTAGAGCGATTCAGGCTCAATATTGACATTTGAAAAGCTGTAT